ACCAGTAGCTATGGTATAGGATATCTGTATCATTACAACAAACTATGATGGCATTTTGCTATTTTTATATTATCAAGCTGCACAATATGGATTAATGGGTCTCTTTGAGGGGGGAAAAATTCTGATGTATTACTTTATTAGAGCAAGCTCTACCTCTAGGACAAGGTTCTTAGTTTGAATTAATATCTGTTTGAGGTTTGTCGTGTTTTCAGTCAGTTAATTTTCCCAGTCTTGTTCTCTCAAACTAGGAACCATGCCACAACTATTTAATAAATGTGCCAGTGTGTCAAAGTCATTTTTCAGAGATGAGCGAAAATGGAAATGAAGTCAATGGGGTTACACCAGCAGTGAATTTGTCTAAAGGCAATAGTAGGCAAATATTTCCAGAAGTGGAACCTTATCTGCGATGATTGTGCTCCTGTTAAATCTACCAGAAGAATAGTTTGCTCTATGGTTTTGCTCTGAAGGCAGAATCTTTCTTAGGACAGCTGTCAGTTTGATCCTGTGAAGGAAAAAGTTTCCTGAATTAAGTAACAGAGGCATGTACTAAGGTGCTAATGACACTTTATCATGCAAAGGAAAAGGTGTTAAATCTGCATTGTTGAAACATTTAGTAAGCAAACCTTATCATCTTACGGTCGAAGACTTAGTGCACGGTGATAGATTCCTGCTCTCAATATAAAACAGTGATAAAAGTCTTATCTTAGAAAAATAACTTCAAAATGTGTAGTGTCAGAAAAATGCTGTCCCAAACACCTACAGGACAACCCCTTTCTTGTGACACTGCCCCCAAATTACGGCTATTTAATGTCTGTCTGCCTTCCTTTATGAGTGAAATGGAACAAATTAACATGATTTCTTTTTTCCTTGTCAAGCTGGTGGTTAAGTTTACTCGTATTATGTAAATCCTCTTTAAAAGCATCAGATCAATTTGGGGTCTTATAATGTCTAGTGTTGCTCAAATAAAAAATCAATTTATTTGTAGATCAAAGCAGTTCTGTATGAACCGAACCAAAATGAACAGTACTATTTATTTTTCATGTCGTTCTCACACACATCCTCCGCTCTTGTCAGGACCCTGATCAGTTCTCACTCCCTCAGCCCAGGGAGACTTTCTGCGCTGCAAGTTGAATTCCCCAGCCTTCCTGGTGGAAGCGCTAGATAAAACCTTGCTGGCATTACAAGACTAGTGTCCATTCTACGTCTCAGTCTGCTTCTAGAAGCGGTTCTTAACGTCACAAAAATAATTCTAAATGCAAACAGTCTGCAGATTGTAGCAAAGGCTAATGCAAAAGTCAAGGATCACATGTGTTGTCAGCTGTGTTGGGCTGGTGTAGCAGTAGCTCTTCCTTCATTGGCATTACTCAACATTTACCCCACGCTAATCTAGAGTAGGATTTCTTCTGTGGTCAGTGCCAAAAACCATGACTCTTCTCTCCTTCGTGCCTATTATAAAGCAGCAGGAAAATACCTGAGATAGGAGAAGTTAACTGATACCTGAATTTTTTTCTGTATATATATTGCAGTGATTTATTAAATATTATTATATTAGAAAACGCATTTGGAATGCAAGCAAGTTACTGTGGAACATTTTCTGCAGTATAGTAGTCCTTAAGTTTTAACTTTCATGAGTTAACTCTTGTATTAAAGCAGCTTTACTGCTTTTTCAGTATAAGTTCCTATGTTTTCAATTAAATTAAATTAACGGCACATTTTGTAAGGCTAATGCAGGGGGTTTTTTCTCACTCCAGATATATTTTCAAATAGCTAACAAAGTGTTCGAAGTACTAAAACCACAGAAAATATGTCAACACTTACACTTGTTAATAGATTTTAGCACCATGTAAACAGTGGCTTAGATTGACTCTATAGCCCAGCCACCCCCCGCCCCCCCTTTCTTCCAGCTGGTGTGCTGCCTTTTCCTGCTGGTCCCCTGGAGAGATGGTTTGACCCTCGATGTCTCTCTGTGCAGGTGGTGACCCGCGATGCCTCTCTGTGCAGTTTGACCCAGGATGCCTCCCTGTGCAGGCAGCTGCTTTGCCTGCCTGCATGAGCGGCTCTGCTGGAGGGGGCAGTTCTGGCTTTCGCTGCACCCCGGGGTGCAGGGACGGGGCAGGGAGGAGGAAGCCTGGCTCCCTCGCAGGCAGCGCCTGGGAGGACGAGGGGCCTGGCATCGTTGTTACAGGTTCTGATGGGGGGGGGTTCGTCAAACTGGACACCAGTTTGCACAGCTGCCACTGCTGCAATATGCTGACCCAATTTTCAGTCTACAAAACGGGCAGAGTGAGTCTTCTGGCACTTTCTGTCCAAAGGCTAAATCTGACGCAATTCTTAGGGAAAAAAACCCCAAACCATTCAGAATATATTTTAGTTTAAATATGCACCTGATTGACCTTGAATTACTGCAGCTGCTCAGAATAAGGATGCTGTACTGTCCCACTGTTACACATCATCTGGTTTACTGTTTTGAAGTATCTAATAGTGATTTGATCTTCTCGTGCCTAACTTAAGTCTGTGCACAGCAGAAGTGTTGAGCATTAACATGTCCAGAATGCTTATACCATGCCTGATTGTGTTTGTTTTAGTTTTCCTACTGAGCTTTTCCTGATAGCTCCAAAGCCTTTATGCGTTGTAAGAAGCATCTTGTGTGTCTAGCCTTGTGTACTGGCATGAATTCTATTGCCTGGGATACTAGGCCAGTTCCAGGAAAGAAATCTGCTTGGGGCAGCCGTCCAGATTTCCTTATACCCAGAGCTGGGGGACACAGTCTTTGGCTGCTAATGGAAAGATAACTGTCATCTGGTTCCACCAGAGGACTGGGACAGTGAGATGCTCACTTTGAGGTACAGAAGGGAAAAGGAACATTGGTCTGCTCTGGATGTGCAGATAGAGTAAAGTAGAGTGTCCCACTGATCTGATTTATCTACTTGTACTTAATCCTGACCCAAGGTGGATACTGCATTAGAAGAGTAAAAGCTACAGCAAATCATGGTTTATTTTATTTTTTTGATGCGTAAGCTTTATTTACTATATGCTACAGACTGAAGTAATCACCGTGATAAGCAACTATTAATGTGTTCATGTTACAAAGAACAAACAGATGCAGACGTAAATAGCATTTCAGGCTGTCCTTGAGCAGTGCTTCATATATGTGTAGGGGAAAAAGATTTTCAATTTGCTCAAACAAACCATTCCTGAAAGAGAAAGAGGTGTTAACATCTGTACTACATCTGCTATTAATAATATTGCTGAAAAGCTAGTAAGGCAAATGACCAATTAAACACTAAGTGCAAAGAAATAAAGATGTTTGAGAACATGATTTGTATTTGTATTGCAGCACACCGATAAGATTCAAATCCTACTGCACACATTTTGTTGGTAATGTTATGCTTTTTTATAATCAGGAATGTTTTTACATGATACAGAGTGAGTTGTTTCTACAATCTCACATTACCACAAAATCTAGTTGATACCTTTAACATTTCAGTACAGAGATTTTAGTTTTTATCTGTACTATGAATATTCTGTTCCAAATGAGTGGCTGTATTTCTACAACAGCAGGCAAAATTTTGAGAAGTAAAAATAGTTTAACATCTGATAGTTAAAAGATGCGATTTTCCTCTTTCCTCTTCTTTTAAATATTGACACATACAACTGAACTTAGGAGTTCAGAAATAAGATTTTTAGTAAGTACTTATAAATACTAATTGATCGGGCTTTTTTAAGTTATCAAAAAAAGTCTGATTAGATCATCATATTAAATGCAATAATCATACCTGATTATTTCATTCATAAAATGTGATGTAGATTAGGTTACTAATTATATTTATTTTTCCCAATTTTCCTGTCCTTTTCATCCTGTGTGATACGCTCTCATAGTGATTGCTCTATGCAAATTCTTCGCACAGCTGCACTGAAGGTGATTCAGAGTTGTCTCACTGACCTCAGCAACAACTTCATCAGGCCCTTGCCCTCTGCGATCTTGTCTTCATCACATTGAAGGGCTGAGCTGGCATTTTACCGTAATAGTGACCCTCTAGAACTGCTGTGAGGCCTCTCGTATATCTGTGCCAGTGCTAGCCCTGCCCTACATTTATATATATTTACATTTATGCTTTATATACAAATTCTCAGAAGCTGCCTTTGTGTTATTTGCACAAGCACTACATGACTTTCAGGCGCAATTTTGCAAAAAAAAATCTTTATTCATTTAAACATGAAAAAAGTTCAACAGGATTTCTTTTTCATGTCTTCAGTTCAACGTGACCATTTTAAAAATTCATTGTGCCTTTCATTTTAGGCGATTTTAAGTTCTGGGAGTTAGTGTTATATAAAATAATCTCTGAATATCATACAGGAGTAGACTTCAGAAAGGCTTCCCTTCTGGTCAGTACCATGCATGCGACTGAGGATATGCGGAAGAGTGCAGTGTCATCTCTGAGCACTGAATAGGCAATAAAGTCATAGAAACACTAAGAAACTTAGTTAAATTACTGCGTGTAGTATAGAATTAACCTTGTACAGTGAAACTTGTGCTTCAGAGAAGACTTTTTCACAAATAACAATGTCATCGGCTTTGCATTCACTGTAGTATTTTAAACAGCTGAGGCACATTTTATAGTAACTTGAGTTATGAGTTGTGTGGTGGGAGATGAGGACTTGCCAAGTTCAGTAAGTTGTGGTATCCAGGTTACCTTTATACATATACTTGACCTTTATTATCATCAATTCATTCTCCTAAGGGCATGATGTGGTCCATATCCTAAGCCTCCAACTGATGTAACGCGGAAATATTAACAGAGTCCCTAATGTGTGAAATGCTTGAACGTGCAATCGTGTAAATGTGGCTTGCTCCAAAATAATATCAGTAGCCAATTAGATTACATGCAATGATGCAAATGGTGCTAAAAGTCTTGCGTGTTTTCCCTGTACTTCTTCTCCGTCGTCCTTTTATTGCTGAATTATCTTCTGAATTCTCCCTTCATTTTCTTTCAACAAAGGCAAGTATGCCATGAGGGATCTGGTCCACCGACTGCCAGGCGCTAACAACAGCAACAGCTCAGCAAGCAAGGCCATGTCTGATGACACCGTTACTGCCATTTGCTGCACTCTGCATGAAGTCATCACTAAAAACATGGAGAATGCCAAGGCCTTACGAGACGCAGGCGGCATTGAGAAACTGGTTGGCATATCTAAGAGTAAAGGAGACAAGTATGTTTTGCAAATCACCTTGCACCTTTTTTAACATCTCCAATAGTTATAACTAGTGCTGAATGTGTTTGCCTCCGCTGTGCAATCATGAGTTGAATACTTTAGTTTCACCAGAAATCACATGCCCAGTCTGAAAGGTGACAAGAAACAGACAATACCAATAGCAAAACTCTCTGCCGTGGTTTATTTTTGACATACCATCAGCGGTGCACGGAGTGCAGTGCACGTGCAGTTTAAGGAGGAGTAATTATCTACGGTAACCACTACCTCTAAGCACTTCCAGAATATCCTGAAAAACATTAGGGACCAGAGCTTGGATTGCACCCTGCAGAAGGGATGATGTGCAGGTGGAGGGATCCTGTGAAAGGAAGGGACCTCACCACAGTTCTGTTACTGCTCCTCTTCCTCTCAGAATGAAGAATATAAAGTCACTGTCCCTCTTCACAGCACCCTTTTCTCTGATACTGGCTTGCTGGTAAGATGGGGCATAGTAGAAACACAGGTCCATGGATTTTCCCAACACCTTGCTTCCAAGAGAGCATTAGGATACCTGCAGGATACTTTGTGAGGCACCAAAACGTGCAAAAATCTTACACACGACTGTGACATTTTCAGAGAGGCTATGGTTTCATCTTGTCTGTTTGCCTATGTACGCACTCTTCATGAAGAGTTCACTCTTTATCCTTCTTTTGCCTAAAACAGATAGCCTCGTTCTCATATTTGTCAACCTGCAGAAGTATAGTGCAATGGGACTATGGCAGTTTGAAAACAAAAAGCCTTCACTGTAGTGTACAAAACCCATCAGTCCACCTACTCGAAGCTGTCATCACACAGCCTACTGCAGCATCAGAGCTCTAAAAGAGCCCCACAAAGCCAGGCCACAACCTGAAGGAAAGATTTATGCACCCTACATTTGGTATGAGAACTTATGCTCGCCTATGTGATCGGAGCATTGCCGATATAATTCAATCGCATTTCTTTTCCTCTATTGTCACCCTTTTCTTTTCATACCAAATTCATTATTGAAACATTCTCACATTTTAATTGTAAGGGGTAAAAAGTAGTAGCATAACAAAGTATGTGATTGCAGTTGTGGGAGCTCCCCATGCTCTGCCGATTTATTTACTGCATTATTATTATTTGCATTATTATTATTATTATTATTATTATTATTATTAAACTTATTTAATTTTTAATTTATATTTTCTAGATCAAATGTACTGATATTGCAAGCAGGTTCATATCCATTTCTCTTAAGTTGAATGTGTCTTTCCTGAGAATAATGCATTTGTCTACCTGCTCATTATCTGATAGAGATTATAAATACCGGTTGAGTCTGAAATTATCAAAGTATCATGGGCAGTTTTATGAGGATGGAAGGGTATAATTCCCTGTCTAAGTATCCCTCATAACTGTGAAAGACATATCTATGTTGGATGAAAGTATTTAGCCCAGGTACTGTTGAGTAATTCCAAAATGCCCCCCCAAATCATGATAAGTATCCCTCCTCTCAGGTACTTTGAGTTGCAGTCCTGTGTTATTACTGTTACAGGTTACAGAGTTCTAGAGCAAGAAAACCTGTCAACTCACGGTGCTACAAATGCTTATCTTAAATGAAAGTTTCATTTTTCAACTTTCAGAAATGTTAGCATTGTGTGCCATTGTTTTGGTTTGGTGTCTTATAGGTAATCAATTGTTCGGTTGATTTGCTGGTTGTTGGACCGATAGGAAATTCTGGCATACTCAGTTTAATAGAGTAAAACACTTCAGTTTGGAATTATCTTGTCCAGCATGAAGCATCTGCTTCTACAAGTGCAGGATACTAGCCTGTCCGTGCATCCTGATACGTATCAGTGCCAGGAGTGCGGGGCTGGCCCCGCTAGCCTTTGGAACATGCCCAGGGCTTGCGCGCTTTCCCTGTATGACAGCACAAGAGAACTGGTATTCATAAGGTCATACTGGCCAAGCCATTATTGGCTTCGTATAGTTCCTATTTGTCCTCAGTACTCACAGTATGGTTGGCACAGTTATTTTCATGGTTGCTCTGTGCTACCAGCACCCCACTAGCCAGTACAGCTGGGAGTATAATAAGAACAATTATGCTTGAAAGGGTTATCAAATTCCTGTTTAGTCACCAATTACCCACCTACTGCTGCACTCTGGGTGAGAAATGGAAGAAAAGGGAAAAGAAAGCACCAAATAAATTACTAGGAAAATACTGAGTAAGTTAATTGCATCGGTTGTGTCATGAACACTGCTTTACCAGCCTGAGTGTCAGCCTACCACTGGTCCTTCTCAGAGGCCACAGGATGCACCAGAGCCTGTCCCCTGAGAAGGCTTCCTGCCCAAACCAGTATCATATGCTGCTGTTTTTATGGTTTCTCTTTGGTTTTGCAATCCATGTGCCTTTTTTGAGTAAAACAGGAATCACCTCAGTGACTGCCCCAAACTCCATCAATCCTCACCCCAGACTTTGGCCTTTGCAAGGTTTTCTAGAGCTCTACTGCTTTATGTGTATTACTGGTACAGCACAAGGGCTTAATCACACAGCATACACTTCCTCAATGGGCTGGGGTTATCCTCCCGGTCCTTTTATATTTGACCCTTCTTCATTGAGCTGAATACTCTCTGATATTTTTTTTTTAGACTTTTTTTCAAGTTACCTATCCCAAGAGGAATATGTGACTCCCACTGATTGTAACAATAGTTCAGACCTCCTTTCAAAACATTTCTGAAGAGAAAGTCCATGTGAAGTTACATACGGTTTTCAACATGCCGTGGACATGGACATTCCATTGCCATCATTAAAGGGTAATGATGTGAGCAAGATGCAAGTCCTAATTTGGATTCATAATGAAATTTGTCATGACTTTTTACAGTCAATTGTGTTTCTGCATCTTGGCTCTGCACTTCAGGAACAGTGCTCATCACCCACCTAGAGTGTTTCTTTTGGCCACTGCTAAGAGGCGCTTGATGCATTGAGCATGCTGACATGAATTAAGTTTGGCAGCTTACAGAGAAAGAAACTCCGGCTCTGGTTTTTGTCCTTTATGCCAAAAGTTGTAGTCAGGACATCTTCTTAGATGTACGTACTACCAGTTGGGTCCTCAACAATTTTGCCAACTGCTGCCTCTCCCATTCCTCTTACTATGTTCTCGGCATGAATCCTTGTTTTCTGTGTGCTGAGGAACACACATTTTGCTCCTCACTGAATAATTAGTACTATAGAAATGACATGTATTGCCCTTGCTTAAAAACACACCAAGATGCCAACCAAAGATCTTATGGTACATTTAAAACATGATTTTAATTGTGGGTTTAAATCCATAGCAATGCATTTGAAAATTGGGGTGAATGGACTCTTGTACTTAACAGTTTCTTTCTCACTCTTTCTTTCTCTCTCTCTCTCCCTTTTTAATATATGTGTGTAACAGGCATTCGCCAAAAGTGGTGAAAGCAGCATCTCAGGTCCTCAATAGTATGTGGCAGTACAGAGACCTGAGAAGTCTCTACAAGAAGGTAAGGCTTGGGTTTTTTCTAGATTTGTCATCTTTAATATGGTTACCCAAATTTGGGGGCTGAGAGACTTTAGACCAAAACATTCACATGAACTGGAAATTCACCTAGAGTTTAAAATTTCAGATACTTGGATCTATGCGCTTTTTCCCTTGTTTCTACTTTTAACATAGAAATACTTCTTGAAAATACATGTGGTGGTGAAAAGGGGATGTGAATTTGATTTTCAGAAGAATTCATACAGAAAGTGGTGGATCTGACATCCCTGGAGAGTGAAGTTCTCTGTTCATAGAACAAACCTATGCCAGCTCTCCTACTGTACCTTTCCTTCTTACATGTCCCCACCCTGTCCTGAAGAGAGTACCAGATTTCCAGCCCTTCAGTCCCAAATTTCCTCATGAGATTGTAAACAAGAGTATCTGAAGGAGTGGTGCTTAGGGACCAGTTACACGTGGAGCTGAGCTGAGACTTGATGGCTTCACTTCCAATCGGCTGGCAGAAAGTAGCATCATATACTTGGTTTTCAGTCTATGGAGTCTATAGTACCATACCATTCCCACATACCTGCTAACCTCCTAAAAATGAATCACAACACGGTAATACAATCCTGTGAAATAACACCCTGTATAGCTTTTAAAACATAAGTGTCTACTGAGTAAATGACAACATTTAAAGTAATTCTTGCAGAATATTTCCAAACTGTTACACTCCATGTGAGTATCAGTCTGCAGATTTAGTTCTCAAAGGTCTTCTTGCTACATGGAATTTCACAGCTGATCTAAATGATATTGGTATTTGTAAACTCAGCAAGGAGAGCTAATACTTCATATGGCACAAAAGCTCAGGTCCTAGTTAAGGCTGAGGCATAAGAATGGTGAAGTAGGGAAGGGTCACAGCAGCATAGTCTGTGCTGTATATATTTTGCACAAGAAAAGAACTTAGTTACATGAAATGTATGCACCAAATCTCAAACTGGCAGAAGCTGACCTTCTGTTTGAAATGCTGTTCTTCTGCATGCCTCAGCCCCACTTGTGTTAAGTCTGAGCAGTAAGGAAGATGATTATTGAGTCTCTCCCATTGTGCACTTCCAGTATTTTCAGTCATCCTTGGCAGCCCTAGGGATACCATATGCGAAGATGTTCCAAGTAATGAGCTGATACTCGACTGTCCCATTAGGAGGTGGAAACAAAGATGAGCTAGACAAGGCTTTCCTTGACGCAAGGCAGTAACACGCTGGAAGTGTGCATAGCCTGACTTGGTGTGTGGGGGTGGCTGCACTGTAGGGGCTGAACTTTATTGCACCATAATCTCTTAGAAGTTCTTACAATGTCTGGCTCATTTCCAACCTTCTGTCTGTATATATATGCTGTGATGGAAAAGCAGTTTCTGGGGTTGCTCCATGTGTGAGGTAATCTATATGCTGTATGGCTTCTGAGTATACTGCTACCTAAAGGACACTCTGTTGGCTGCCAGTGTGAATGCCTGGTAATGTACTTACATACTAAGTATGTTTGGGTACTAAGTACCTTGCATGCTTAAAGGAACATTTCCTGCGGCCACAAATACATACTTGTATGGCAAATAGTGCAGGCTAGCCTTTGAGGTAGCTTCCAGAGCACTCATAGCAGACAGATTGTCTGTATTTCAGGGAGCATTTTATTAATCTCTATATTGGCTAATTCCAGCAGGCTTCACAAAATCTTAAAATGAAGGTCAGTTTCTGCTACATGTTTATATATTCATCGTATGCCATTACATATGATGCTAAGCATTGTATAAATATGTTCAGATAGTTGAATTAAGGTACTCATTTGTTAAAAGACACACAATAATCTTTATAAAGTCCATAACATTTATTAAACTTGCCAATAGTAGGCTGACTTACGCTGGCTGAGTTTCACCACTGTTGGGTAAATAATGTTTTTATGATAGGAAAATTAGAAAAGTTTGCATTTTAGAAATAATCAGCTAGTTATGTACTATAAGGATACTGGGTCAATGCAATCTGCTAGTAAAAAGGAGTGAACATACAGTTGACTATAATATGATCAGCACTTTACAGTGTCTTGCACTTGCACAGCCTTTTTTGAAGTGCAGGTAAATCCCACTGCATAACCATCAGCAATTTCTTCCTATGTACTGAAGTAGCTGTCCAATTATTTTTTAAATAATTGGTGGCCTACCGAGAGGCACAATTTTGTACTGTAATGCAAGGAAATTACAAGCATCACATCACATTTACGAAAAAGTAGCAGCACTTACTTTACTCTTTGAGAAACAGTGTAACCAGATAGTTTGAATTGTGTATTTTAGAGCTCATGTCTGCAGTAGAGTAAGTAAGGAGAGATAAGAAGAATAGAAGTAGTATTCTTTGTGTTAATGGGGAAAGAAGGTAAGATATGTTTACTGCTGATACAGGAGTAGTCAGTATATTTAGTCCAAATATGACTGCATCAGCAAAACCATGAAAACCTCATTCAACTTTTCTAATTTTGCTCAACGTTATGGGAGTCATCTCATAGCTGGCAGAATATAAACTGCACCGACAAAAAGTCTATCCAGAGTTGGGGATTGGTGTGGTCACCTAATGACTTGCCACACCCGTGAAGGACCAAAAACCAAGAGGTGCATAGGCACCAATTTCCCACTTGCAGCACTCCCCAGTAAGCTCCTGGCTGTGCAGTGCAGGAGCCAGAAACAAGTCCCCCACCTGCCACCACTGCCTGGGCTGCCCTAGGCAGGGCGTATAATGCTTCCTGCAATCTCCAGCCCATCGTGGGTGAGCAAGCTCTTCAGCTTTAACCAAGGCTAAAACATTAATATGCTTATGTAGTGAAACCTACATTAAGCAGCCTCTAAGGACACTGTCAGAATCAGCTGTTGCATAAAAAGGAGTCCAAATTTAACAGATATCAGGGTGCCAGCTTCTGCTATGTTGCTTAAGAAGAACAGTAGTGTGCACAAATTTCAGTGCGCCTTTCAGTGTCTGACATGTTGCCAGTTTCTCTGGTCTATTCAAAGCCAAAAACTGCAGCAGCAACTGCAACGACTCAGTTAACTTCATTGACCAAATCAAGCAATATACCCTGTCTCAATCAAGGTCGCAGTGTATCTGGCTAAGAATACAAACGGTATCTTTTGATGACACAAAAATTTATGGTCCTATCCATCTATTTTATTCTGAAAAATGCAAAATTATTCCACAAGTCAGCGAGGTAGAAAGCATAGAAAATTAAATCTGGTAAGCCAAGTTAAGCTAGAGATAGAAGCGTTTCTGCAAAAAGAGTTTCAGGCTAGCCCATGTCCTGGGTTTAAAAAGAAAGGCAGAGCAGAGGGACAGAACAAACCCTGCAAGCACGGTAGCTCTGAGAGTCCAGAGCTCAGAGTTCTGGTACCCAGGAACTTCTCTGCATGGGCTGATCCTGCTCCCAATGAAAGCAATGAGAAGGCCCTGTTGATTTCATAGGTCCTTTCTGTAGGGCCTCAAAAGCAAGAGCTGGGACTTTTGCAGCCAACTGGAGTTTGCTGGGGAGACAGGCTAAGTAGTCTGCAGCATCCGATGTGTCCTGGGATTCCCAAGGTCCTATAAAAAGTAAGGACTGAAGGTTTGTGTGTTGCTTGTGTTCAGTTTGCTGGAGCAGGAACACCGTGCCCATTTATTAATAGCTAATATAACAGGAGTTGCAGTCTTTGAACTCTTGGTCTCTCTTCTCACATAGCTTTTTATTCTATAGAAAGCATGCTAAGGTGGAAACTGTAGCTTTTCTGGCTCGGGAGAATGATGGATAGATTTCTAACTTCCTACAGCCTGAGCTGCACACTCAAGGAAGAGGAGGAGACATTGGCTTTGTTGTCTCAGTTTCTACTTGGCAAGCTCTGTAAGTCCACAATACCTTACGCACTGTGTTTGCAGAGCTATGTCACGCCTGGTACCCTCCAGTGGCAGGTTCTATCCAGTGTACTAGGATTCCCAGTCCGTACCTGTGCTGTGGCTTTAATGGGACACACAGTCTTGTAGGCTGGGCTGGCATGGGACCTTTGCACAGAAGGTGAACAGTCAGCATTCAGGTCTGTGAGTGAGGTGGCAGTGTTTACCATCCTTTGTAGGCTTCTGCTTTGGGGGAAAAAAGAGAATTTCATTCCCTGATATGGTTAATTTGGCACTATCCTAAGACAGTCAACAAAAAAAAGTTATTAAAAGCATAAATGTTTCCAGTCCTGAAATTATAGGGGGGAAAAAAAGCTTGACAGACCAAGAGGAAGCAATGAATTTAGTCTTGAAGTGAAGGAGTTGCCAGTCATCCCAGAAGTTTAACTTGCAGGTACTTCGTCACGGAAAATAGTGCTTAGTTTGCTGAGCAGAAATCTAATCTGAAAACTTCCCACCAAGAGGAAAACAAGGGTCAGATTCAGCCCCGTATAAACATTGTTTGAATGATTTAGTGTGATTAATTTCTAAATACTCCTAAAGCTTAGCAAGTAAGAAAGAAGTGATTGTCACAATTTTTCATCAGGAGAATCGTCTTTGTTTCCCAAAGAGTGACTTTAATGTCATGTCATTTTCAAACTTCTTTGTTCTCTACAAATAAGACTTACATTTTCATAAATGATCATTTATCTGCCTTTGTTTTTGTGAGTCCATGCTGAAATACTTAAAACTGATTTTCAAAAGTGCTTAATGTGGTCCATAATGGTCCATAGCTCCGTGGGTGGGTCAGTGGCTCAGCACTTACAAAAAAACAGGTAGGGGAGCTATCCCGCTTGTCCCTGTGCTTCAGTCTCATCATACACCCCTCTTTGAGTATCCTGGTAACCTGTACGGTCAGCAGGAGAATTAAGTGCTGCTTGCAGTCTCCAAAGAGAAGTCCTGTCCCGTTTAAGTTTAGCCACCTAAGCAAGGTGAAAGGACCTACTACAGTGATTCTTTAAAGGTACCTATTTCCAAGGAAGGAACGCCGGACCCCACTCCAGTCTCTAGGTTGTTAGCTGGTTGAAGGTTTGGG